AAATAAGAGAAAATATCGATAGCCTCCCATAGAAGGAACATGGTAAGGTCCCCACACATCCGAATGAATAACATCAAAAGAAGAAGAACACCTTTTATTACTAGGTTTAAATGAATGTCTACAATGCTTTCCAAGTTGACAACCTTCACACTCTAGACTTGACAAACTAACAGACTCAAAGAAGAAAAAGGTAAATGGCCCAAACGATTATGACAAAGCATAATTTGACCCACAGACCCTGACTCACTATCCCTACTGACATGATGACTCTGATGAGGAGGAAGTACATTCAGGAGGTAGATCCCATTCACTTCACGACCACTCCCAATCGTCCTCTTTGAATCCAGATCCTACAAAATACAATGACCAGGAGAAAAAATTACTGAGCAGTTCAGGTTCTTAATCAAACTATTAATAGATAACAAATTAGTGTTCAATCTGGGAACATGAAGGACAGAGGGTAGAGAAATAGAATCACTAATCTTGACAGATCCCTTCCCARCAATAGGAACATGGGATCCATCAGCTGTGGAGACCCTATCTCTGCCAGAGTAGAATTGGTAAGAAGAAAAAATAGTAGAGCTATGGGTCATGTGCTCTGAGGCTCCAAAATCTAAAATCCAAGGAGGTCCCTCCTTACCTGAAGTAGAAACATAATTTGGAGTGACGTGTGAACTACCTATGTGAGCAAAGGAATTCGAGTGGACTCCACCAATGACACCTATACCTTGCTATCCACTTGCCGCTGAACTGGAACTGGTTGTATCCTGTTGGTTCAAAAGTTGCCCATACCTCTCAAATTCGGCCCTTACTGCAGTAGCTGCAATAGACTCCAAAGCAGCTATAGTAGGAGGGGCCGGAATGTCACCAGTAACTACCATGTGTGCATTTCCCTTCTTATTTTTCAGTCTAGTTGGCACAAGATGTGGGTGAAGCTTCCAGCAAGTTTCTCTTGTGTGTTTAGGCTTCTTACAGTAGTCACAGATCAAATCTTTTTTATCTTCCTTCTTGATTTTGCTGCCACCCCGATCTCCACTTTGTTTAGGTTTCGTAGTACTTACCATGGTAGACTGATCAGAAACAGGATTTTTCATCATCACATCTCTCCTGCACTCCTCCCCTGACACAAAGGCATATGCCTGGGAGAGGGCAACACTATTCCTGGATAGAAGATGTCTTGCAATATCATACTCAGGATTAAGGCCAGCAAGAAATTCAAACACCCTATACTTCTCTGGATGTTTCTGATAGGTAGTTGCATCCTTAGTGGTTTCCCAAGCAAATGTCTCTAAATGATCAATCTCCTGCCACAGGGTTTTAAGGGCTGAAAAATAGGCTGCAACAGGTCTATCTCCCTGCCTTGTAGAAATNCCACCGGGAGTTGCTAGTTTCGGGTTTCACTTCTTCACCAGTGATATACCCTAATTTCCCATGAGCACCAATGACCATCTTTGCAGATTGTGACCATTCTAAGTAATTTGCACCATCCAACCTAACTGTAGTAATGGTCCCAGCCCTGAAAAGGTCTCCAGCACCTCCTTCCACTGGTCCCATTTCACTCCCGGGCTTATTTTCAACTCCGTGACCCTCCATGCTTCTCAAAAAATGTAAAGAAAATAACTGAAATATGCAAAAAGATCAAACGAAACACTTCTGGAACCAACAACACCTTTCTGGTGTCCTAGACTATCTTCCCACAAAAGATTCCTTTTCTGTGGGATGGGAGAAGAGAGAGAAGAGGCAATCGCTCTCTCTAGAAGCCTCCAAATCAGGCAGGACTTGAACAGCCCTTTACAGAAAACTCCAAGGAACCCTAAAAAATTAGGGCGCCACTTTCTAAGTCAAAATTGAAGAGAAACCCTAGACCAGCTACAGGGCACACAGATCCACCAAAAAAATCCAAAAATTGGGCTTACCTGAGAACTTTGATCAGCCTCTTAAATCACCATCCARTCGGCCGATCTAGGGCTGCATGAGAAAACAACTCAAGGAACCTTCGGCCCGCTCTGATACCAAGTAGGAATCACTAATTGCAGATTTAGTCGAATTTCTTGTGAAAGGAAAGAGGAGGAAGATAAAGATTTCAGCAGTAGAGAAGAAAAGAGAAGGAGAAAAGAGTAGTAAGTCAACCAGGATTCTTAGATTAACCTTAGCCGCCAACCCCTCATTATATTTATACTTAACTTAAAGGATGAGACATTACAAGGATGCCCTTAGTAGGGCGGCTACTAATGTAGCTGAACAGTCACAACTTAAAAACATAAACTAATGGGCCTAAAGCCCAACAACTTCCTAACTAAATAACTTAAAATAAGAATAAAAACAACTAGGCCCAACTCAACATCCTTGAATCCTATCTCACCCTTCAGTGATAGCCCTTGCTTTGCCATTGCTATCGTGCAAAGAAAATCTATGAACATGAACAACGCTGTTGTCTTAGGCTCTCGGCTCTCCTGTTCTTGGAAGGGCATGGGAAGACAAAGTTGTTAACTGAATGGCTCAAAAGTTGAGATTTCTAAAAGTATTTTTAACCTGTAAAACTTTTCAATGCTAGACCCATTAGTGTTTATTCAGCATGCAGCCCTTAGTCTGCGGTTCTGCTGTTTGTCTTGTTTGTTTTAATTTTGTTTTCATCTCTTTATTGCACCATTTGTCTTGTTTGTTTTAATTTTGTTATGGAAAATATTATAAAGCTGCCACCTTCTTCTGTAACTGTTAAGTACTTACCACTCGGTTCTGCGGTTCTGCTGTTTCACCACATTAGTTGGATTGTCAACATTTTTTCATTCCCAAGTCCTAACACAAAATGATGTTGCATTAGCAACCACTGTCAACAGTTGAAAAATGACCAATATTTTAGAGCATTTTCAGCATCTCCTCCATTTTATTAGAAACTTTATCATATACAATTGATATTACACTTTAGCTCATACACTTTTTGTTCCTTTTTTCCCCTTTCCTGGTGGGTCATGGAGAACAGCGAAGGAACTTTTGAGGACATTATAGATGCATATTTGGCATTTTTGCAAGTAAGTATTCTACAATTGCATCTTCATTCAGGAATTACTTTCAACTCCTTTGATTGAGATATTACATTTTAGAAAGTGCTCTGCTAGTATTTTTCTAGTCAATATTTTGAATGTTCACTTTTGAATGTTTGCATACATTAAATATAGTGATTTTTTGCACATTGAAGGGTCTAGATGAGGTAGTGGCAGACCATAAAGGACATGGCCACATGGGTTAGAGTAGTGAGAAATTATTTGAGGGCCCATGGTTTAACAATAGATGTGGCACTGAACAGAGTGGAATTGTGGAGCAGGATTCATGTAGCAGACCCCATACAGTTGAGATAATGCCTAGTTGAGTTGAGCCATGAAGTTGCTAAGATCAGTGTTATCAGAACTGGAGCAAACAAGATGGTTGAATCAGTGATGCAGTGACCTAACTGGGTCCTGGTTAATTGATGTTTATGGTCTCAACTCTCAAAATAATTTATCTTACAACCTATCTGATGGAAAAGAGACTGTTGGCTAACAGTGGAGTGATGGTTCATGGTTCAACAATTCAATGTCAGGCTTGTTGTGTGAAACTGTTATATCAACCTGACCTCAGTAAGAAGCAAACGAAGTTTAAAATAAGAAATATCATTTAAAAAGGTTGCAATTTTTTCTCATGTATAATGATAATTATCATAATTTTTTAATATTCCCCATATTTTAAATAGTAGTTTTATAAGTGTAATTAATTCATTATCTTAATTATATCTTATTAATGTCAATGTAATTAATATATTAAAAATAATGATGTGTTTATGTTGCCCAACTAAATTTACATTTTTTGTATCTTAAAACTATCTGACTGTAATTAATATATTAAAAAATAATGATGTGTCAATGTAATTCTAATGGTTTATTTTCTTGTGCATCTTTCTTTGGTTTGCTCACTCATATTAACCCTATGGGGGTGAACTTCCTAGTGAGAGAAATTTGGACTAAACCGATCCCTCCAAAAGTACAAGCTTTCTGYTGGGAAGTGTTCCTAGGGAAGGTAAACACTTGTGATGTGCTACAGAAAAGGAGGCCAAACAATTGCCTCTCTCCTCATGTGTGTCCTTTGTTTGGGATGTGGTGAAACTCTAACCCACTTACTATTATCCTGCTCTTTTGCTTCTGGTATTTGGAATGTTGTTTGTTCTCTCTTTGGATGTAGATGGGCTCCCCCACAGGATGTGGTAAGTCTATTTGTCCCTTTTTCCTGTGTCAACGGAAGAAAAGGGGAAAATGTATATGGAAGGCAGTGAGAGCAACTACAGTATGGACTATTTGAAAGGAAAGAAACCGAAGAATCTTTTCAGGAAAAAGCAAAACAATGGAGGAGGTTATTGAAGCCATAAAAATTAGAACTGCACATTGGGTAAAGACCATGGAATGGAAGCCACAAGCATGGAACAAACTAAAACTGAATTTTGATGGGAGTTCTCTTGGCAACCCTAGAAGGGCAGGCATAGGGGGTGTGTTTAGAAATTATCTAGGTGTGGTGGTGGCACTCTACTCTGGACCAATAGGTTATGGTGACTCAATACAGGCTGAATCTCTAGCCCTACTTCAAGGTCTAAAGATGGCTGAGGAGATAGGAACAACAGACTTAGAAATTGAAGGAGACTCTCTATTGGTCATCTCTTGGG